AAACTCTTGTGTCAGAAAGATGTCCATCTTTTGCTGACAGGTTATGAAGATGTCCCATCTTTTCTTAACCAGTGGAAGCTTAAAAGGAGTCTTATATTATTCTTTACATCACGCTAAGTTAGGGTAAGGCGGTGCAGCTAGTGCTATAGCTTTTTGAATAATATCTATAGAATACTTTTAGTGAAAACTCTTGTGTCAGAAAGATGTCCCATCTTTTGCTGACAGGTTATGGAGATGTCCCATCTTTTCTTAACCAGTGGAAGCTTAAAAGGAGTCTTATATTATTTATTACCCGACAACGCAAACGCAGGCGTAAATTCCGTAAAATAGCTAAGACAATGGTGTCAATGCAGCTATTGTTTTTGGAATAATATGTAGATATATATCTTGGTGAAAACGGTAAAAACGTTTGTTCCAGATTCATTTGCGCACTATAGGGCCTTGGGAAAGGCGGTATAAGTGTATAAGCCATTGAAGCCGCCGCAGTTTTATACTGCCAAGATCTATAAAGACGGCAAATAGGTTTCGACGTTTCGATATGGAATTATCATGCCATACTTTGAACGTAAACAAAATCTAGGTTGAATATTATTCACGCTATTCGATCTCTAAGATATCAAGGACGTTTTGTTTTACCGCATGCTCGAGTATTATTACACGCAGCCTTATTTCACATTATACGCTATAGTATAGCCTGACCATAAGTGACTTGTCAACAGTCAGCATCGTAAATATCATCCTGACATATTTGTACACTTTTATTTTAATGCATAACAGAAAATTAACTTATTATTTGCTTGGTTTCACACTGCGTTTAAGCAACTGAACCTGGATTGATGACATCTTATAGCGGTAATTAATAATGCGATTAGCGTTGCTCGTTTCCTGAAGTTGCAAACTCAGTTTGCAGATCCCGCTGTTTTTCAAAACGTGCGGGTCGTCATGTTCCTCATTAACCTCACATGATGTATGGTAAACCTTCCTCACGCGGTGATATCTGCATAACCACAGCTTTTCTGCAACTCTGGTTACCATGCGCTAACAAACTTTAAATGCAATGATTGTGAAATTTGGTGCTTGCACGAGTGCTGAGACCACTGGCAGTGCTCAGTAGTGACATTATCCCTTTGTCAATGCTAATTAATCTAAGATAAATATTTTTTATAGTTAAAATACTCATTAATAATTCATAAACCTTGTGGCAAATCATGTCAGCCATAATATGTCACGTGGAGTGACTTTATATATCTGATAAAACTCCTCTTCATTAGTATTCTTTATGTAATTGTTCATCCTAATTAGTATTATTATATAATTGTTCACCCTAATTAGTATTCCTTTGTATAGTCGTATTTAAGCTATTCAAAATACTCGTTGTCGTGTTTTATCAGACATAAACGCTCGGCTGCGCCTCGCATTTTATATCTGATAAAACACTCCTACTCGTCTCTTAAATCTATATTATTTTGCAGGGTTTAGTGATAGCTGGTATTGCTGATTATACAAGACCAGCAGAAAAACTAAGTGTATCGCAGTCAATATCTTTAATGGCAACTGGTAAGTAGATTTGTTATTTATTTATCTTTAAAAAATAGAATAGCATGGAATTCGGCGGGCCACCACATCTTTGGATCACCATTTCCACTAGAAATGCGTGTGGATCTGTCCTTTTATTATGTTTTTATTTGGAAGAAAATTTACAATAGCGTATATCGATGTCCAACTTAATGTACGACTTTCTTTATGAATTTTTCCATAGAAATAATAGATATACAGGGTGTATCAGAAAAAACTGAACAGATTTGAAATTGCTCTCAATTTTGCAAAATACCTATTTGTGTCTGGTTTTTTATATATATAGCTTCTTTGGGTACTTATAATGTAAAATATTGAAAAAAAATTCTCGATCTCAAATTTTGTGAACCAGGGGGGTGTGTCTTTTCCAACAAAATAAAAATGGCTCGCGCACAAAATTTAAAAGCTGTAATCATATTTTGAGTTAATAGATTGAACATTTGTCGGGTTTTTAATTACTGTAAAAAATTTCAGACAATTTGGTTTAGTTTAAGCCCTCTAACTATTCATTTTGTTCTAAAAAGTCAGCCTTTCGCATGCTTAATTAATGCCTTTACCTAATTTGCATATTGCTGACATATGCAAATTAGGCAAATGCATTAATTAAGCATGCAAATAGTTGATTTTTCGGGAAAATTGTAACTTTGCGTGAATAGTTAAGGGGCTTAAACTAACCCAAATTGTCTGAAATTTTGTACAGTAATTAAAATCCCGACAAATTGTTCATCTGTTAACTCAAAATATGATTGCAGCTTTTAAATTTTGTGCGCGATCCATTTTTAGTTTGTTGGAAAAGACACACCCCCCTGGTTCACAAAATTTGAGTTCGAGAAATTTTTTTCATTATTTTACATTATAAGTACCCAAAGAAGCTATATATATAAAAAACCCAGCTACAAATAGCTGTTTTGCGAAATTGAGAGCAATTTTAAATCTGTTCAGTTTTTTTTTATACACCCTGTAGAATGCGTACTTGCATGATCACGAATCATGTCTCCACTTTTTCTCAACCGTGCGCTTATAAATCCGCCATATTAAATTTGACTATACTAAGCATAAACAAAGCTAAAACTAAGTTATCATCGTCGAAAGGTTTTGTCGTGCTGTCTAATTTGTATTTTGAGGATAGATTTTGAAATATTGAATTTTTTGAAGGCACAAAGCAAACGTAACGGCTGCACCAGTTGTTCCATGAGTTGTGCAGCCTTGTAAAAACAAGTGTAAATATAATTTGCTCATAAAACATTTGTGTATGCTCTGAGCGTCACTGCATGCATGCATGTTTTGTTTATATCTTATGAAATTACAAAAAGATAATTCATTCTTTGTCGGGTTTCGTTTTGCTTCAAACTAAATCAGTGTTTAAAACAAAATTGTCTTTATAGTTGTCGATGAACTGTAGCTAAATCGCCTAAATAATCGTCGACGTAATTGTGTAATTTTGAAAAGATTATTGATCTCCATTTATATTATAAGGCAGTTGAAATATTTTAGGAATTTACATGTAGCTATTGAGTGTAAGTTTGTCTTGATCGTTTGCGTTTTGTTTTGGCTTGCACAACAACGTTGAATATATTTTTAACGACGATTTCCGTGTATATTCTGTTCAGAGCTATTGCTTTTCGTAAAAAAAAACATTGGAATAGGTTTTTCAAAAGTTTATCTCCTTTACAAAACTTTTTCAAGTCTCCATATAAAATCCTTTTTGCAAACTCCCCGCAACCGCGCGGAATTCCAAGCCACAGCTTTGCCAACTAGAGCAGGGTCACTACAACAGCATATGCCAATTACTGTGGGCCCACAGAAGTTTGGGACGAACCAAAATGCCCTTATAAATCCAATCTCGTACCCAGAGTATGTCCGTTTGCAGGTTGGCCATGCCCAGTACCAACCTGCGAAGGGGCATACTCTCGGCACGATATTGTTATAAATCCCCCATTTTGTGGAGAGAAAATTTTTATTGAGAAGATATATATATATATATATATATATATATATATATATATATATATATATATATATATATATATATATAGATAAAGATCGGATGTAGACTGCGAGCGGTCCCTCCTTTCCGCGGGTTTAGATTTCCGGGCACGAGAAAGGAAAGGAGGGACTGCAGACAACACATCAAGAAATGAAATCCGCGTTGCCCACACAACGCAAAATTCCCAGGCATAGTACAAAACATGGACTCGACTGGACAGTTGGACTGGACTGATTTTTGATTTTCTCTATTCTTGACTTGCACGTCACCCGCCATGTCAGGTGGCATGGCACAGAAGAATATTTATCACATAATAGATATACCATGTCTATTTTGTGATTTTATCAATGAACATTGTCTGGTGTGTACCAGGAGGAGATTGGTTGCAAGTCATTAATATAACGTTTTGCACCTGAATTACTTTCGGAATTGATTGTCGGAAATTGAAATACTTTACCTTCGCCGGTGACCTCACTTTATAACTGGAGTGAAATCTCTTAAAGCGAAAGAAACCCCAGTAGGTAGAATAGAATAGAATAGAATAGAATAGAATACAATACAATACAATACAATACAATACCAAACATAAACTACTTATCTGTCTTTGCTATGGGTAGCCTGCTCGCATACGTATTAAATTTCGATATTTCAGTCTGCATGGCCATGGGCGTAGGGAGATCGATATTTTGGT